GCCATCCTATCGATCCGTAATTACACGGCTATAACGACCTAGCACCTCGAAAAATAAGCCAGCCGGCCAAAGATCGAACAGGTATAACAAGGGCGAAAAAGGTAGATCCACTTGATGATTTTGGCTGAAGTTGGTAGAAAATTTTCTCGCCGACCCCCGCAGCGCTCTATTTCGAGGCGGTTTATTTTCCAACGCGTACGATTTCGCGAAAATAACGGAGCTTCGTGAGCATTAGCGGTCGTTATTCTCAAGCTCTGGATTCATATTGAGAAAATGGGTTCTGATGTCCACGTAGATCAGACCAGTGGAAGAATGGTGGCTCTAAGATTCGATAAACACGGTAGAACTGCGTTTATCTGAACTTGTTGGGAGACAGTTTATATAACTCGAGCTCAGTCACGTTCCTCGCTAGTTATTATTTTTCGTTTACATAATAGAAGCTCGTGTTCCGATACGTGGATCCAGTCGATAAAGATTCAATTGATCGGACAGTAACTGAATTTCCGTCTCGATAAATGGAATTGTATCGTATGAGGTCGTCCTTTTTTAATCTACGTGTTCTCCATTCAACTTCTGCCACTATGGATCTCATCAATTTCACGAAACTCGAATTAAACGCGAGATGCATAAAACTTCAATATGTTGAGAGCGTTGCAATATTTAACATCTTCCCAGATGGTACCGTTAACGACAGTGAACTTGTACCATTAAAGATAGTGAACTTATGTTGAAAATTGTTCTGCTCTAACGAAAGTGTCTTCCAGTCCTTCTCTTCCATTACATACTTCATCAACTTCATGGGACCAGTTTGTGGCTGATGTACAAGGCAGCGAAATAAGGTAAAAAATTAATATATGTATCAAATGTCTTACAGCGATTAATACGTAAATACGTGTAACTAATCGCCTACTATATCATGTCGCTAACCATGATACATGATAACGATGAACAATGTAGAATCCTGAATTACAAGCTTTCCATACCACAGGAAATCTCTCGTATTACATATTACAACTTTCAACAACTAAATACGGATTTACTGTCCTTAAATAATATCTTAAGCCTGTTCTCCTCGCTTCCTATTCAGCTAACTTCCTTCCAAATTTTGAGATACTTTATCCATGAGAAACGATGGAACATACAAAAAACAGTACGATTATTAAAACAAAATGCAATAAAACTTTATTTATCCGACACGGTCGGCGGGCAAGACGCTTCGGATAACTGGACCAGTCTGATAATGTCGGATAATAAGAGTCCGCTAGTTCTTCCTCCCTTCGCTGTTTATCATTCCCATAATCGGAGTTAATTTCCATATAACTGGATTTTCCTAAGCTGAAATTTGTAAATAAGGCAAGAATCTTTATTCGCATAAGCGCGTATATGTCGTCGCGTAGCCTGGGATCGGTTAATAAATATCCAGAATCATATTCGATAAATCGAGCATTGTGATGATATTAGTTCGGATAAATGGAGTTCCACTGTATTTAAAAATTATTTATATTTCAATATAGTCTACTGAAACATAATTTTCAATAAGAGACGTAGTTCCGTAGAGAACAGCAGAGTTAAAATAAAATCTCTTTGTTCTTACCCAAAGGTTCTCCACTCGTTCCCAAGCTTTACAGGTCTTATCAACTTTGCGAAACCAGTTGGCAAACGGAGTACAGCAAGGCGAAGCGAACCAGTTGGTTCGACTTCGCGAATCAACGGAACACGATGTTCGCGGTGCTCCAGGGACTCTCTTCCTCGAGTCCGCGAGCAACCACAGCGACAGATTTATAAACGGTGTATATACGAGAACTCGACGAGAGCACGGAGCCTGCACCGATCTATGTACTCAATAAGTCTTCGAGGGTCGAACCGAGAGGATAGGCACGTCGACGACATGTTAAAGTTCCCTCGTACGTTTCGCGAAGTAACGAAGAAATTTATGAAACGAAGTACGTATCCTCCAGCTTACACGCATACATTCGTACAGATACATATATTTCCACGTTTATAACTTGGTGGACGATTGTACAAGCATAGAATTTAATGACGTTTCCTGTACATCGCGCGACCATTAATTATCGTTATTACGTGTTTAACGCGAGTTTTTCCAGTTTCACTGGAGACCGGTGTAAAACACAGGGAAACGAAACCAACTTCCTCCCTTTGGTTTCACCACTCTGTAAATTCTCTCTTAACCGCGAAGTACATATACGTACAAGTGACCTTCTTCTCGTTTAGGAGTTATCGCTTCTCGTTAATCTGCAATTAACCCTTTCACTGCGAAAATCATAGGTATGCAGTATATGACCCGCATTTATGTCATAGAACCGAAACACAA